ACAGGCACGCGCCACCATGCCCAGCTGATTTTTTGTATTTTTAGTAGAGACGGGGTTTCACTATGTTGACCAGGATGGTCTCGATCTCTCGACCTTGTGATCCACCCCGCCTCGGCCTCCCAAAGTGCTGGGATTACAGGCTTGAGCCACCGCGCCCGGCTGCATGATTTTAAAAATCAAATTCTTTCAATAGGGAAGGGCAGGAAGGACCTGCTCACCTCACCTTGGAGGTGTCCTGGAAGCCTGAGGGAGGCCATCCCATCCTATTAGCACATCAGGACATGGGAATTTCATGTATGTTCTGCCTAATGGTGGAAAACAGCAAATTCTTTTTTTCTATCTAAAAATGATCTAGGCTCACACTATTACAATGGCTCACACCTGTAATCCCAGCATTTTGGGAGGCCAGGGCGGTGAATCACCTGAGGTCAGGAGTTTGAGACCAGCCTGGCCAATGTGGCAAAACTCCATCTCTACTAAAACTATAAAAATCAGCCAGGTGTGGTGGCACATGCCTGTAGTCCCAGCTACTAGGGAGGCTGAGGCAGGAGAATTGCTTGAACCCAGGAGGTGGAGGTTGCCGTGAGCCGAGATGGCGCCATTGCACTCCAGCCTGGCAACGGAGCCTTCATCTAAAAAAACGAAAATAAGAATGGAAATTATCTACACAGGCTGAGAAATGGTTTAGAAACATAAGCCAGATCAAAACCAGTTTTAACGGGAAGGCAAGGAGTGGAGCCGTAACGAACGCAACCGAGAAGCAAGCGGGCCGTGTGCTCTTGGGAGGTGTTCCCAGCGTGGGGATAGCTCCTGAGATACCGCAGACCTTAGGAGGACGTTCTTAGAGCCAAAAATTAATATTCTAAAATTAAAATGAGGACATTCTTCCAGATGCCAGTTAAGGTGTCAGCCTGGCCTCTGAGCTATCCCAGGGGCAGGGATTGCCAGCCACACTCGTGGGAGTGTTTTGCAGCATCTGTTGGGGACCAGGTGGTGACGGGGTCTGTCCTTTCCCTTCCAGCCGCCCATCATCAGGGCCCGGCCTCAGTGCCCTCCTCCAGGTCCTACACAACTGGTCCGGCTTCTACCCACAAGCGCCCCTCTGCCGCCCTCATTGCCTGGGAGCTGCTCCGCACTCAGGGCCTGGCGGGGCTCTACAGGGGCCTGGGTGCCACTCTCCTCAGGTGAGCCTTCCAGTCCCCTAGGATGAGTGCATGGGAGGGCACAGGGCCAGAGGGCTGGCTCTCCCTCTCTGCCTGTGTGCTTCCCGGCAAATCCAAACCCAGGTGAGCAGACCATTTTCATGCTTCCTGTTTTGTCAAGAATTGGTGACGGTGGCACAGAATGGGTACCTGGAGACTAACGTTTAAGGCCCTGTCTCCAGTGACCAGGCCCACAGGAAGGCTGGGTGTTTTGTGGCCCAAAGGCACCTCAGAAAGCCCTGTCTACAGAGCACTGCAGAGTTGGTAGTAAATGCAAAGCCATGTCTCTCATCCTCCCCTGGCCTGCCTGCCCCTTTACAGAACGGTTTCCAGCCTCAGACTTGCCTCTGGCAGTCAAGAGGCTGCCAGTGCTACAGGGCAGAGGAAGGTGCTGGGAGGGCAGGATGGACAGGAACAGCTCTTTTGTCCCCTGCTGTCCCTTACCCATGCTCACAGGGTACTGAAGCAGGGACGAGTCGTAGCGGCTCCTGACCGCGAGTCCTACAGCTCACAGCATCGCTCACCGTCTGATCTTGGGTGGCAGCCCCAGGGTGGGTCGGAGCTCAGTGCTTCTTCCTCTTCTGCAGAGACATTCCCTTCTCCGTCATCTACTTCCCGCTGTTTGCCAACCTTAACAACCTGGGGTTCGACGAGCTCGCCGGTAAGGCGTCCTTTGCACATTCCTTCACGTCAGGCTGTGTGGCAGGTTCCGTGGCTGCGGTCGCAGTGACGCCTCTGGATGGTGAGGATGTGGGAGTGTCGTTTCTGTGGGATAAACAGCACTTTTGCACTATGACATGCAACAGCCCAACCCTGGAAGACCTTGGTTGCAGTCTGGCCGCTGGCAGAGGCCGTCACACAGACAGCGCCCAGAGACCCCGCTTTTCTGTTTCTCACCCCTGACACATCCCCTCGCCTTCAAGATGCTGATTCCTTTAGCTTTTTGTCCCCTCAGAAGAGTCGTAAGCCTCAGCTATAAATGATTGCTAGTGTTTTAAAATTTGGGGCTGGCCAGGCGCGGTGGCTCACGCCTGTAATCCCAGCACTTTGGGAGGCCGAGGTGGGCACATCACCTGAGGTCAGGAGTTCGAGACCAGCCTGGCCAACATGGCAAAATGCCGACTCTACTAAAAATACAAAAGAATTAGCTGGGTGTGGTGGCAGGGGCGCCTGTAGTCCCAGCTACTTGGGTGGCTGAGGTAGGAGAATTGCTTGAACCCAGGAGGCAGAGGTTGCAATGAGCTGAGACCACGAAACTGCACTCCAGCCTGGGCGACAGCAGGAGACCCCATCTGAAATAAATAAATAAATAAAAATTTGGGGCTAAAGGTGGGAGCTAAACCCAGTGTGAGAAGACAGTGCTTCCCCCGAGTTAGGGCTGCTTCCAGCCCCCCAAACATGTATAGGCAGACTTCCTATACCAATAGTAACCTGGCCAGGTGTGGCGGCTCACACCTGTAATCCCAGCACTTTGGGAGGCCAAGACAGGTGCCCAGAGTTCAAGACCAGCTTGGGCAACAGAGACCCTGTCTGTAAAAAAAGTAAAAACATTAGCTGGGTGTGGTGGTGCATTCCTGTAGTCCCAGCTGCTTGGGAGGCGGAGGTGGCAAGATCACTTGAGCCCAGATGGTTAAGACTGTAGTGAGCTGTGATTGTGCCATGCCAGTCCAGCCTGGGCAACAGAGCAAGACCCTGTCTCAACAAAAACAGGGCCACAATAATGCGACTCATTTAGTTTATGGCTGAGGCCCACAGAGGACACTTCCATTTACAGACTACACAATGGCAGACCTGGCCTCGTGACTCAGCTTTATATGTATGTAGTGGCTCTAAAGGAGGACCCAGCCCCTTGTGTGGAGGAGAGGACGCCAAAAGTAAGCTGTTCACTACTCACTTTAACTTTTACTTGATTTAGTTCTGAAAACGCGAATCCAAACCCTCAAGAAAGGCCTGGGTGAGGACACGTACAGCGGGATCACCGACTGTGCCAGGTGAGAGCCAGTGTCCTCTCAAATGGAGGCTGGGACACGTCCCTCTGCGTGGGTGTCTGCCTAGACCAGGTGTAGAGACCAACTTGAATGCAGGGCTCTGGGTTTCTCTGGTCTTTCCCTTTCCCTCACCTCTCAAAAAAAACAGGATGTACTGGGAGCCTTTTCCTTCCTGGCACCCCTACAGTGCCTCTCACTGAAGATTCTAGCCACAACACGCCTACTTCCAAGGCCCTGACCTAACTGCATATGTAAGCAACCTGCGTGCACCCGGCAGGCGAGGCCCAGCTCCCACACCGCTGGACGCTTGCTCTTGCTGTGCAAGGCTCGGTTCTCGAAGTGCACAGTGGAGACGCCGCCACAAAGGGCTGCTTGCAGAATGCCCCTGCCCACGGCTCACTGGCTCTTCTTTCTCCACAGGAAACTCTGGATTCAGGAGGGACCATCTGCCTTCATGAAAGGCGCTGGCTGCCGGGCGCTGGTCATAGCACCTCTCTTTGGGATTGCTCAGGGGGTCTATTTCATTGGGATTGGAGAGCGCATCTTAAAGTGTTTTGAGTAGACAGAGCTGGCGCCCAAGTCCCTGCACTCGCGGTCCTGTCTCTAGCCCATTTTACTTAGCCTAGAGGGGACAAGGGCAGGCGAGGCCACCCTGGCCTGTCCAGTCCTCTGCGTGTACGCTGTAGCGCTACCTCAGTCTCGGGGGAGACAGCCCTCCTCTAACAGCACGCTGAGCACAGCCTTCTCCTTTCCCGTGTGGGCACGGCTACCTGGGGCTTTCGGAAGCCCGTAACCACCTGCTTTTCAATAAGAATAGTACCTGCTTTAGTTGTATTAATTGCAGGACTTTAACAGGTTGTCAAGACAGAAGGGCTGTTTCTATGTTTTAGCATTTCTGTTTCTTCTGTTTCACAAACTCGGCATTCTGGAGTCGGCTTGAGGATTTCCCTGTTAATCTTGAATTCCATAACTTATGATGAATCCTAGCACTGATTTTGAGGAAAAGGAGGATCACAGGTGCAAGGGACCATGAAAAACCTCAAAGACAGCACCGAGTTTGAGACCAGGCACCCTTTCAAATCCTCGGATGGCTGAGGGCTGAGGCTGGCTCCGGCTGAGCAGCCCGGCCCCTCCCCCAGAGCCCAGGCTCTCGAAGACCACCCCTCCTTTCTGCAGAACACTATTTGAAATAAAGGTGAACGGTTAAATCTCACCTGTGAATCAGTGCGCACGGCAGACAGGCTGCAGTGAATGGTGTTGCCAACTACTTTTCTATATCCATTATTTCAAAACCAAATGTTAAAAAGAGCGTGGAGGCAGGCCCCTGTCACTCTTCAAACTGCTCCTTATGGGGGTGGAGGAACGCATCCATAGGGTTGACTGCAAGCAACACTGGGTTTTAGGCCTTGATTCTACCCCTTCCTGAGTGCATCATCTGGAGGAATTGAGTGTGCCGGGAGAGCTCCCCCGTGCACCTCAGCTCCTCCCCCACAGGCCACTCCAGAAGTAATGTCACACCACAGGGGCCAAGTCCTGAGAAGCCAGCACCTGCCGCAGGCGGTGTTTACATTAGTCCCCGCCTGCTGTGAAATGTGGGCTAACGAGGAAGAGGACGGCGCTAACGTGGTCGGCCGTGGGGGCGTCACTGTTAAGAGAACCCCATCTAAGTTGGGGTCCCAGCTCCACCATGTGCTAGCGGCAACGCCCCAGGCAGCTCTAGTCGTCACCTGTGGAAGACAAAGGATTTGGGCCCTGCACACAGTGACCGGCTCCAAAGTAACCTGGTTTTCCTCACAGGGACAACACTGATAACACCATTTCCTCACTGAAGTGGTAGAGCCCTTCCAGAGGCCAGGTCACACTGGAGAGCGTGTGGGGGGTATGGGAGATCACAAGGCCTGGAAGGAACGCTCCTGGGTGATGGGCTGGGAACACTGGGCAAGAGCCCGGGGGACACCCAGAGGGCTAACAGACCCAGGTGCTGACAGCTGTCACCATCCAGTACCACGGGGATGTGGAAAATACTTCTTTTCTAGGTGCCTCAGTAAAAATGTAACTCTCAAACCCTAAATTTATAGTGCCTTACACTAGAAATCACATTAATTCCACATAACTCTTTTAATAAATAAAGCACATCCATGGCTTAGATTCTGAATCACATTTACAGAAGACGGAAAGCTTCTAGACCTAAACAGGGAACAGTGAGGCGACTATGAAGAAGTGGTGTACCACATGCACCTTAAGCTTCGAGTGGGAGATGCAGGGCCGAGAACGCCAGACACGTCACCTGTACGCCAGACGGAGAAGGGAGACCCAGGAAGCCCATGCAACCGCCACCTGCCCCTCCCCTAGTGTGCTGAACCGACCGGACACTGTGTTACTTTCAGATGAACTGGAGGTGGGTCTTCCTATTACATGAAGCTTTCCGCCATTGTGAACAATTAGGCAAGGCGTCAGTGACAGACAGAGGGGCATCACTGATAAATACAGAGCAACAATGGGGCAGTAAAGAGGAAGCTACAGAGACATCGTGTTTCTTCAAATATCAGAAGCTTCCACGTCACAGCAGGAGAGCCAAGGATGAGCTCCACCTCCCGGAGGCTTAGTCCAAAAACTTCCTGTTGGCATTCGCACCAAACAAGGCTCCTCGGACTTCTGGCATCATCTGTGGAGAGAGTGTAATAAACACGCAATGTCAGCTGAACAGGTTGTAGAGCACGCCACATCTTAACCACAGGCGCAAAGCCACGAACCTCTGCGTGGCTGGGAAGGACTCATGAAGCCATGCACACCACAGCTGAAACACAGTGACACATTCTGTGGCGAGAAGCTTAACTCATCCCAAATCTGGGGTTCAGACTGCTTGCAAAAGGGACACATTTAAAATAAAAAAACCTAGCCAGGCGCGGTGGCTCACGCCTGTAATCCCAGCACTTTGGGAGGCCGAGGTGGGCAGATCACAAGGTCAGGAGTTCAAGACCAGCCTGGCCAACATGGTGAAACGCTGTCTCTACTAAAAATACAAAAATTAGCCGGGTGGACGCCAGGAGTATCAGCTCCTCGGGAAGCAGAGACAGGAGAATGGCTTGAACCTGGCAGGCGGAGGTTGCAGTGAGCCAAGACTGTGCCATTGTACTCCAGTCTTGGCAACAGAGCGAGCCTCCGTCTCAAAAAAACACAAAGAAATAAAAAAATAAATAAAACCCCTAAAGTCATTACTATCTCAGGCTTAACTCAAAATCATCTCACCACAATATTCTGGGTCACCTACACTCTCTCTTCCACACACACTTACTGAGTGCCTCCTATGGTCACAGCAGCTGCACAGAACACTTCCAATGCTGGTTTAGGCTGACGCACTTGTTACAGCCACTGATGAATCCTCAGGAGAATTTAACCCTGGACTTCTAAGGCTCTGATGTCAACAGGGCAGCCCTAGCAACAGGTGGTGACTGTGTGCTGAGAAACGGAATTTTTTGGTTTAATTAAATATCCATAAGTGGGTAGTGACTCTGATACTGGATGGGACAGGGCTACCAGGAGACACTGCTCTGTGGTTTAAGTTACCAGAATATGAAAAAAATCAAGGTGAAAGTGCTTTAGTTGTAAGACAAATATCTGCATAAACAGTAAACTGCACATCTAGGCAGCGAATAACTAGGTTAGCAGCCACAGTAATAGAAGATGCCCAGCATTTTAGAACGAGTGGAATTCTCCTGGCTTGTTTCCTAGAGTTCATCTGTACAAATCTGGAAATATCTGAAAAGCCAGCAACTTTATGATAATTCCTTTAGACAAGTGTTTCTGGCTCGGCATGGTGGCTCACGCCTGTAATCCCAGCACTTTGGGAGGCTGAGGAGGGTGGATCACCTGAGGTCAGGAGTTTGAGACCAGCCTGGCCAACATGGTGAAACTCCGTCTCTACTAAAAATACAAAATTCGCCAGGCGTGGTGGCACATGCCTGTAATCCGAGCTATCCCAGAGGCTGAAGGAGAAGAATCACTTGAACCCAGGAGGAGGAGGATGCAGTGAGCTGAGATCACACCATTGCACTCCAGCCTAGGTAAAAAAGAACGAAACTCTGATCCAGCCAAACTAAGCTTCATAAGTGAAGGAGAAATAAAATCCTTTACGAACAAGCAATTACTTCCACCAGGCCTGCTTTACAAGAGCTCCTGAAAGAAGCACTAAACACAGAAAGGAACGACCAGTACACCAGCCACTCCAAAAACATACCGAATGGTAAGGCATCGACACAATGAAGGAACTGCATCAACTAACAGGCAAAATAGCCAGCTAGTATCAAAATGGCAGGGTCAAATTCACACATAACAATATTAACCCTTAATGTAAATGGGCTAAATGCCCCAATCAAAAGACACAGACTGGCAAACTGGATAAAAAGCCAAAACCCATCGCTGTGCTGTATCCAGGAAACCCATCTCACATGCAACGATACACAAAGGCTCAAAATAAAGGGATGGAGGAAGAGTTACCAAGCAAATGGAGAGCAAAAGAAAGCAGGAGTTGCAATTCTCATCTCTGATAAATTAGACTTAAAACAACAAAGATCAAAGGAGACATTACATGATGGTAAAAGGATCAATGCAACAAGAAGAGCTAACGATCCTAAATATATACACACCCAATACAGGAGCACCCAGACACATAGAGCAAGTTCTTTTTTTTTTTTTTTTGAGACAGAGTTTCACTCTTGTTGCCCAGGCTGGAGTGCAATGGCGTGATCTCGGCTCACCACAACCTCCACCTCCTGAGTTCAGGCAATTCTCCTGCCTCAGCCTCCTGAGTAGCTGGGATTACAGGCATGCGCCACCATGCCCAGCTGATTTTTTGTATTTTTCGTAGAGACGGGGTTTCACCATGTTGACCAGGATGGTCTCGATCTCTTGACCTCGTGATCCACCCACCTCGGCCTCCCAAAGTGCTGGGATTACAGGCGTGAGCCACCGCGCCCGGCCATAGAGCAAGTTCTTAACAACTTACAAAGAGACTTACACTCCCACACAATAATAGTGGGAGACTTTAACACCCCATTGTCAATATTAGATCAACAAGACAGAAAATTAACAAGGATATCCAGGACTTGAACTCAGACCTGGATCAAGCAAACCTAATAGACATTTACAGAACTCTCCACCCCAAATCCACAGAATATACATTCTTCTCAGCACCACATCACACTCACCCTAAAACTGACCACATAATTGGAAGTAAATCACTCCTCAGCAAATGCAAAAGAACAGAAATCATAACAGTCTCTCAGGCCACAGTGCAATCAAGTTAGAATTCAGAATTCAGAAACTACTTCAGAATTCAGAAACTAACTCAGAACCGCACAGCCTCATGGAAACTGAACAACTGGCTGTTGAATGTTGACTGGATAAACAATGAAATGAAGGCAGAAATAAAGAAGTTCTTCGAAACCAACGAGAATGAAGACACAATATACCAGAATCTCTGGGACACATTTAAAGCAGTGTCTAGAGGAAAATATATAGCAATAAATGCCCACATGAGAAGCAAGGATAGATCTAAAATTGACTCTCTATCATCAAAATTTAAAGAGCTAGAGGAGCAAGATCAAAAAAACTCAAAATCTAGCAGAAGACAAGAAATAACTAAGATCAGAGCAGAACTGATGAGATAGAGACACAAAAAAACCCTTCAAAAAAAATCAATAAATCCAGGAGCTGGTTTTTTGAAAAGATCAACAAAATAGACCACTAGACAGATTAATAAAAAAGAAAAGAGAGAATAATCAAATTGATGCAAGAAAAAATGATAAAGGAGATGTCACCACAGATTCCACAGAAATACACATCATCAGAGATTATTACAAACAACTCTACACACATAAACTAGTAAACCTGGAAGAAATGGATAAATTCCTGGACACTTGTATCCTCCCAAGCCTAAACCAGGAAGAAGTCGAAACCCTGAACAGACCCATAACAAGGTCTGAAGTTGAGGCAGCAATTAAGAGTTTACCACCCAAAAAAAGCCCAGGTCCAGACGGGTTCACAGCTGAATTCTACCAGACATACAAAGAGGAGCTGATACCACTCCTGAAAGTATTCCAAACAATCCAAAAAGAGGGAATCCTTCCCAAATCATTTTATGAGACCAACATCATCCTGATTCCAAAACCCGGCAGAGACTCAACAAGAAAAGAAAACTTCAGG